GTGCAGAGGAGGATAAAGGAAGCAGTACCCTTCCCTGGTTTTAGGAGGAGAAGGGAAATGTTCGGCGTATTTTCAAGGGGGTGAGGGGTCCTAACAAGGGTGGGGTCTTGGATCAGGAAAATGATAGAGGCAGGATGGTGGACAACTGCCATAGAGTTAAAAACAAAAAGTGGCCGCGCCCTAATCCTCTTGAGCTGGCAGGACCAGGAGGAGGGGCTCTCCTCCCTCCCTGTGTGTTAGTAGAGGAGAGCTGTGGCGCTTGATCTCTTAAGTTCGGGAGGGAGGAAGGGCCCTGTGCCCTTTCTTCTTTTTGTGTTGGGGAGGAGGGGGTGGGGGGTCTGCCCTCCTAGTGAGGAAGAAAGGCGTGCGGATCTGTCCTCCTACTAGTGAGAGAAGGAGGGAGCGAGGTGTCCTTCTCCCTGTGTCAGGAAGGAGGGGCTGGGGGCCTGGACTCCTGTGTCTGGGGGAGGAGGGGCTGGGGCCCTGGTCTCTTGTGTCAGGGAGGAGGCTGAGGGCCTGGACCCCTGGGTCTGAGTGACGAGGGGCTGGGGGCCTGGATTCCTGGATCTGAGAGAGGAGGGGCTGGGGGTCTGGTACCCCTGGGTCTGAGGGAGGAGGGGCTGGGGGCCTGGTACCCCTGGGTCTGAGGGAGGTGGGGCTGGGGGTCTGGTACCCTGGGTCAGGGAGGAGGGGCTGGGGGCCTGGACTCCTGGGTCCGAGGGAGGAGGGGCTGGGGGCCTGGACTCCTGGGTCTGAGGGAGGAGGGGCTGGGGGCCTGGTCCCCTGGGTCTGAGGGAGGAGGGCTGGGGCCTGTGAGCTGCCTCCCCAGTGTCCGCTGCAGCTTGTGTCTGATTCCACCCGAACATCTAGGCTTTGGCGTCAGACACTGAGGTCCTTCAGGCGTCAGGAAACGAACAAGCGCCCGGTGACCACGGTGCCCTCCCGGAGACACAGCTGGCCAGGGCCTGAAGCCTCTCACCAGCCCTGCCCAGCAGCCGGCACCCCGAACACCCGGCCTCCTCCTCTGGCCTCAGTGCAGACTAGGTGCCCCCAGCACAGCCGGGTGGAGGGCGGGGTCCCTCACTCAGCGTGGGCAGGGGAGCCAAGAGCCCGAGAGGAATGAGAGACGGGCAATTTCTTGGAACCGAAGGGTGAAGAGCTTGGACCCCCGTTCTGAAGGAGGAAGGTGCTGGCAGCCTGGATTTCCTCAGCTGACTCTCAGCCCGGCCCTGGCCTGGGGGATTATGGTCAACTGTCAGATCCAGAGTTCTCGTTCCGATGCCGGGGCCCTGGGTGAGGTGAGCAGGCCCTTCAGCCATGGCAACTCCTTCCCTGCGCGGGAGAGCCAGGCCTCTGCTCCCTCGCTGGGCTCCAGGTTCCAGGCTCCAGGCGCTGGGCTCTGGGCTCTGATCACTGGGCTCCGGGCACTGGGCTCTGGGCTCTGGGCTCCGGTCACTGGGCTCTGGGCTCTGGGCACTGGGCTCTGGGCTCTGGGCTCCGGTCACTGGGCTCTGGGATCTGGTCACTGGGCTCTGGGCACTGGGCTCCGGGCTCTGGGATCTGGTCACTGGGCTCTGGGCTCTGGGCTCCGGGCACTGGGCTCCGGGATCTGGGCCCCGGGCTCTGTCTGGGCTATGGGCTCCGGGCGCTGGGCTCTGGGCTCTGGGCCCCGGGCTCTGGACTCTGGGCTCTGGGTTCTGGGCTTTGGGCTCCGGGCTCTGGGCTATGGGCTTTGGGCGCTGGGCTCTGGGCTTTGGGCTCTGGGTGCTGGGCTCTGGACACTGGGCTCTGGGTGCTGGGCTAAAGGGCTCTGGGCTCTGGGTGCTGGGCTCTGGGTTCTGGGTGCTGGGCTCTGGGTGCTGGGCTCTGGGTGCTGGGCTCTGGGCTCTGGGCTCTGTGACAGGCATGAAAGAGGCGCTCTCCCACTCTGGCATTTCCGGTTCCCCATGCTTGGGAGGGGCGCCTCCAGGAGGTGCCTGCCTAGAAAGCCACAGTTCAGCACCAGACCCAGAATCACCCCAAAGGAGAGTCTGAGGGTGTGACTGTGGAATGTGGGGGGGGGGGGACCGGCGGCCCCTGGTGGGGCGGGGACACCCCCAGGCCGGACCCTGCGGGCTGGAGGCGGCTTCCACCTGGCAAACAGGTTCCCCATCCCTCGGGAGGACGCGGGCTGCCAGGACTGCCCTCCCCGCCGGCTCTGAGTCAGGGCCCCATCCCAAGCGGCTGGGGCGAGGCCGGCTGGGCGCATCCAGACACTGGGGAGCCCAGGACCCGAAGGGAAGACGAAGAGGTTGACGGACCGGATCGCCCAGGTGCAGCATGGCACCTGCAAGTCCTGGAGGATGGGGCTCCTGGGTGGCGGGGTAGGCCGCCCGCCCGGGACCGAGCCCTCCTCCAGGCCAAAGCCCGGGAGGGGCTGGGGGGTTGGGATGGTGGGTGCCCGGAGGGCAGGGCGGGAGGACTACCAGCCTGGCTGGGGGTGTGGGGAAGGGGTGGGGCTCCGCCTGGCAGCTACTGGGCAGGGCTGGGAGAGGTAGAGGCCGGGCGGACCGCGCCCACTCTCCTTGCTCCTGGCGCTGCTGCAGCCAGTGAGGGGAGGAGGCTGGAGGGAAGGGCTGCGGGTCCTGGGAACCTGGCGTCTGCGGTTTGGGGCGGCCGGATGTAGATTGCTTTTAGGAACAGCGCTCGGCCCAGACCAAGCCAGCGGCGGATCCGCCACCTGCCAGGAGCTCAGGTTAGTGGAGGTGCAATCTCAACCTCTAACCCCCATGACCTGAGGAGCCCCCTGCACCCACAACCCCAGTTCCTGCTCCTGGGGGTGAGGGGAGGTGGCGGGGGCGGGGGGGAGGTGGTGGTCAAGATCCCTTATCAGTCCTGGGCCTCCAGCCCTCCGTTCTGTTTGGCGCGTCTCTCCCTGTCACCTCTGCGCGCGCACAGGTTCACCTGAGAGAGGAGCTGGAACACAGTCAAACCGTGGAATTTACATGGGGGCCTGACAGGCGGAGGCAGCGAGGCTGCAGGATGTGGGGACCAGGTGCTGGGCCCTGGACGATTGCTCTCTTGGAAATCACCACCCTTCCTCCCACCCCCAAATCCCAAACCTCCAGCTTCTCCGCCCTCAGGCCCCTGATTCCTTCGGGCGGCGCCTCCCCAGGCTCCTTCTCACTCACCTCTTCCCCCCGCAGCCATGTGGACCCTCGGCCGCCGTCACCTGTGTCTGACTTTCCTGCTGGTTTGTGCGCTGGCGGGAATCTCCTTCCTCCACCTCTACCAGGGCCTCTTCCAGGGCGGCCTGGACCTGTCTTTCCTGTGTGCAGACCGACACCTGGTGGCGGCCCCCGTTGCCATCTTCTGCCCATCGGGCGCCGGGACGGCCCTCAACACCTCCCCTTCCTGTGCCCAGCTCCCCCCGCCCCCCTCGGGGGCCTGGACCATCTCCCCGGAGGGCCGGCTTGGTAACCAGATGGGGCAGTACGCCACTCTGCTGGCCCTGGCCCGGCTCAACGGCCGCCAGGCCTTCATCCTGCCCGCCATGCACGCGGCCCTGGCCCCCGTGTTCCGCATCACCCTGCCCGTGCTGGCGCCCGAGGTGGACCGCCGCACGTCCTGGCAGAGCCTGGAGCTGCACGACTGGATGTCGGAGGAGTACGCCCGCTTGCAGCAGCCTCTGCTGAAGCTGTCGGGCTTCCCCTGCTCCTGGACTTTCTTCCACCATCTCCGGGAGCAGATCCGCCGGGAGTTCACCCTGCAGGACCACCTCCGGGAAGGGGCCCAGGGTTTCCTGGCACAGCTCCGCCTGCCGGGCACCGGCGGCCGCCCGCGCACCTTCGTGGGGGTCCACGTGCGCCGGGGGGACTACCTGGAGACCATGCCCCAGCGCTGGAAGGGGGTGGTGGGCGACCGCGCCTACCTGCGGGAGGCCATGGACTGGTTCCGGGCCCGGCACGAGGCCCCCATCTTTGTGGTCACCAGCAACGGCATGGCCTGGTGCCGGGAGAACGTGGACACGTCCCGGGGGGACGTGGTCTTTGCCGGCGACGGACAGGAGGCCTCGCCGGGGAAGGACTTCGCGCTGCTCACGCAGTGCAACCACACCGTCATGACCATCGGCACCTTCGGCTTCTGGGCCGCCTACCTGGCGGGCGGAGACACCGTCTACCTGGCCAACTTCACCCTGCCCGACTCCGGCTTCCTGAAGATCTTCAAGCCCGAGGCCGCCTTCCTGCCCGAGTGGGTGGGCATTAACGCGGACTTGTCTCCGCTCCAGAAACCTAGGTCTCCGGGGGCCTAGCAGCTTCTGGGGGAGCTTGTGGCGGTCCTGCAGCACGCGGGGCACCGTTTCTAGAGTGATTCTAGTTGCTAGACCTTCAGAGAAGAGAGGCTCCAGCCACTGCCTGAACATTCTAGAACCGCAGGAAAGAATTTCCTGACTGGGGAAGTCTGGGCCGCTGTTGTGCCCAGCCTTAACCCACATGTGGATGGCTGTCCCC